TGCAACCCTTCAACACTGGTCAGAATGGCGGCTCGTCTATTGGCTGCTGCGCTGTGGTGCGCTTTGGCTCTTCCCGGCTTGGTGGCGCCTCAATCTTTGCCTTCTTCGGTCACGTGCGGCGAGCACAGCGTGAAGGCGGCGGCCGGCATGGCCGTCCGGCACGTCAACCGACACCACAAGCACGGCTTCAAGTTCCGGCTGCACGAGGTGCAGAGCAGCAAATACCAGCAGGTGAGCAAGTCGGGGCCGGCCGAGCCGCTCCTTGGGAGATGATTGAGATGGGCTCGTCTGGCGGCTCTGCCCACGCAGGTCTCGGGAGGTTGCCATATTGACGTCAACGTGAAGCTGCTGCAGACCAAATGTCACTTCAGCAACCCCAAACCCGAGGCCCAGTGCGAGATGTGGCGGCAGAATGAGCGGGTGAGCGTCCTTTAGGTCCTGCCGGTCGCTTCTGTCTGTGATGTGCTAACCGTGTTGTTTTTTTGGTGGCTCAGGGCGCGGTGGCCATCTGCAGCGTGGAGTTTTGGGTCATGTGGGGCGCGGCCAAAGTCACCCGCCACGAATGCACCACCCGACCAGGTCGTGAGAGCCCCGCTGCTTTAGTGCTTGCCTGTGAAATGCTTTATTGTGGCGAGAGCTGACGGCGAAACTCGGGCGCCGCCTTGTTTGCAGAGCCGTCCGACGAGGAGCTGCTGCTGATTTGCCCGTCATGCCCCAAGCTGTTGCCTCTGGATGACCCGACGGGCGTCGGTGCCGTGCGGGAGGCGGTGCTCAAGTTCAACCGGGAGAGCGAGCGGCCAAATTACTTCGCCTTGCTGGAAGTGGCTCAGCTCACGAGCGCGGTGAAGATCCTTTGAGTGTTTGTTTGGATTGCCGCCTGGCATCCGCCGTCCTTCTGAACGCTCACTCGCTTGGTCTCCTGTGACAGAACGTGGTCACCATCGGCACCATCACCCAGCTCAAGTTCGCCCTGGTGGAGACCATGTGTCCCCGAGAGGCCTCGGCCACTTTCGCCGCCTGTACGCCTCGCTGCCCCGACCGAGCTGTGAGTTGCAACTTGCTGCTTGACTGGCTCTTTCTTCCACAGGGGTTGCTTAAGTTTTGCCACGCTTGACGGCTTTCTGGCAATTGACTCTTGACCCGGCTTAATTTTTTTCCTTTCTCCTCAAAGTATCACGTCTACTGCCGAACCTCCTATTACAATTCCCACAGACAAGTGGGAGAACTCGAGTGCGAAACGTACCCGCCCAAGGTAAGTCTGCAGCCAAAGCACCGCGCCCGTTTAGGCGGCGGAGAGCCTCACCGTTCCTCTCGGGTCTCCGCAGAATTCAGAGTCCCTCCCAGCTGACGAGCCGGAGCCCGTTTGCAGGCCGCTGTTCCACCAAAGTCCGGAAGCTTGCGTTTGCAAGGACAGGCTGAAGAGTCCCGAGCCGTCCCTCCACCACATTTGTCCCTTCCCGCTCAAGTGACTCCTGCGGAAATAAAAACTTCATGCTGCTCATCCTGTGGTGTTTTCTTCTTTTTTTTTTTTTTGGGGGGGGGGGGGGGGGGTGTCACGCATTACACTAACTCAATTTGAGGTTGGACAACTATTTCCTGACCAGCTCCACCCTTATTTTTCCACTCTGCATGGGGCTGAGCGTGTTTCAAACTCCAGGTTAATTTAGGTATAAGCGGAGTGTGCCAGGAAGTGTGCTGCGTTTGCCACCTGATTTTTATTTAAATTTTTTCCCCCCCCTGGCAATATGCTTTTAAAGCCCCCCCAAGTATGTCAAATTTCATTTCCCCCTTTGAATTTGTGAATTACACTTTGCAAAGAATTTTTTTCAAAAAATGTTTTTCTAAACTTGTCAAAAGGCATTTCATTATGTTTTGGATCCCTTTCAGGGTTAGAATTTTTTTTTAAGTTTTAAAGACAATTCATTAAGAGGGGGCACGGGTTATTTTCCAATTTGGGCTATTTTCTGTTATTTACTTCTGGAAATAATCAAAGTAGACCTTGACGCTGTCTTTACACAAAAAGTTTCACTCAGAGAAGGTTCTTTTTCCTAATCAGAGCCCGTTCATTTCCTTGGCTCAGCTGAGGCGAAAGAGGCGTCGCCATGGTGACCGATTGAAAGCCGGCTCAGCGCTAATTGGCAGCCAGGTGTCAATTGGTCGTCCTCTGCGATTGGTCGCCGAGCTCCTCAGCCTGCTGAAGGCCCGCGCCCGAGCTTTAGACTGACGTGTTCTGTTCAAGACGGCCGCTCACCTGTTGGCTGTTGTGCTGTGTTGCGCTTTGGATCTTCCCGGCTTGGTGGCGCCTCAATCTTTGCCTTCTTCGGTCACATGCAGCGAGGACAGCGCGAAGGTCGCGACAAGCCTGGCTGTCTGGCACATTAATATATATATATATTAAAATGTGAAAGGTTCATAATTAACTCACATCAGTGCTCATCTTATTGAGCATGTCAGCCCCTTTCATGTATTAGAGCATTTGGCAAAATTATGGCTGCCCTTTGATTTCACCCGCGACGGGACGATCGTTAGCCCACATTTATGTCCGTGGTTGGTGGCGCACATCTCCCCCTCCTGATTTTGTCATCACGTGTAGGTTTAAAGAGTTTCATTCGGCCTTCCTCTCAAAACATGAAGCAGATTGTCAGTGGAGAATTAGTTGGGATTTATTTTCTATGTACATGATATGTGTTATAAATATCGTACAGGATAAGCACGGAAGGTGGTGTTGTCACACCGTGTCGGGGACTTCTAAAAAACAGAGCTGATCGCCAACTCCCTCTGCGCATTCTTTCAGAGTTTGCCACGCTCGGACACGAGCGCTGACCACATGACTGCAGGATCCATTTGGGAGTGTCAAACACTTAAGACATGCCGCGGATGCATTTTCTTGACGGTTTTCTTCACCCTCCAACTTCCAAGATGCGAGCAGGAAGTCGAATGCACCTTGAGGAGACCTGATGGGACTTCTGATGCTGCTCTCTGGTGGCGCCTCTGGCACACACATTCATCCACAGTCAAATGCAGCCAGGCACACATCATTATACACGCACACATCAGACTGTACACACACATACACGCGGGTGCTGCAGTTTGCGGTTTCTTGTAAACTAAGAAGCTCCTGATGAACATCCAGGAAGTCATCGTTCCTTCCCTGCCGCTTCCGTCATGTTGGTCTCTTCTTCTTTTGTCTTTGTGGCGTGCGCCACGGCAGTCACTGGCCGCTGTCGGCGATGACGATAAGCGCCGGTCCGGCGCTGTGCTGCGCCACCTCTGCCTGGGTGGCGCTGTCGCCGTCTTGACGTGGGGCGGGCGCGGCGCACACGCCGTGCGTGTTGATGTTGTAGACGCCGGGAGCGAGGAAGCAGGCTCGCAGCTCAAGGTGACGTGTCTGACGGGGACAAAGCGACAGCCGGTAGCGAGTCTGGCCCACCCAAGCGAAGCTACATGCGCACTCGCTCCACTCTGAACTATAAAAGAGGGGAAAAAATGCAGAGGAGAGAAAGATTAGCCTGCACGTTCTTGTCTGTTTGTGAGTGTACTTGTGCGTGCCCGTGAATATGTGAGCGAGCAGGCAAAGACCCAAAACCCAAAGTTGACAGGCAGACGAGCGCACGCACGCACCTGCTGGTTTTGTGCCTGAGGTCTACGGTGACGTCCACATCAGTCCAGTAGCAGTTGGACAAAACCAAAGAAACAGGAACCACACAAACACTACAAAAATAAATAAACAAATAAGTAAAAAAATGTACAGCTGCACTCGTCCGCATTATCCATGCGTGCAACCTGTCGCGCGTGAAGTTGTGCGCATATGTCTCCGAGTAGTGCAGGTTACTCTTGATGAGTCGTGACAGTTGGGTGGCCGGCAACACGGCGGCAGGAGGCGGGTCCGACTTGAACTTGAGTAGAACCATCTCCTGAGCTTCCTGACAACACAACAGCAACACGAGACGTGAGCGTGTGTGACATCACTCCATTGAAAGACCGACTGCGGCATCAGGGTCACGGCAGGAAGCAAAAAGCAAGCCCGACCCGCTAGGCTCAAACTCGTAAAGGTGCAGAGGGCAGAAGCAGGCAGATCACCTCAAGTGGCACTCATGCACAAAATGGTTTGTTGCTAGATTTTGTTTGAAGAGAACACTGACAAGCAGCTCGCACTGAATTGTCATAGAGAGAAAGGGGGG